TGTGTAAATATTACTTATTCTACTTTCTAGTACAAAGTATTTGCAAGTTGCAGTCCCCCTTCCCCCTCTGAATCTGAAATATATTAACTTCAACTTTCTCTTGAGAAAGAATGCTCAAGGTTTTGACCTTCCTCCTACAACAGCGGTTTGGACAAAGCCAAGCATTGTCCCACCTCTGCAGGACACCACAGTCTTTATGCTGTCAAATCCCCTCCAGTCATCGACTCAGCCCCCCAGATTACCCACCATGGCCCATATTCATTCAGCTGTGACAAAGTGACTCATGTCTATGTGTCATAATGTAATCATGTGCAGGAGGTTCCACGTTGTGTGGAGCCCTAATAAGAAGGCTAGTTATGTCTCTACACATGAAAAACTGAGTGAATACTAAGTCATCTGATCTCTACTTGAAGGAAATTAAGGTACTTTTTCCAGAGGAAAAAAAGGTTTTAGCTCAATAGTTTGGATGTGTGGTGACTTTAATGGTATTAGTAGGATTTGCCTCTAAACGAGCATAAAAGTCAAGAAAAGCTTTAGCTGTGTGAGCCAAAAGGAGGTTTTAACATTCCATATAAAATTAGTTGGGATTTGGTGAAAAATATTGTCCAAGTCTGGAGACTGTATCTAAAGGTATTCCTAGTAGATACATGAAACTATGCATTATATTTATTTCTCTGTTTTTTTTTTTTATTATTGTATTTGTTTTTGTATATTTAGCATTGTTGTTGCTGTATAAAATGTGGCAAAAACATTTAGATTTATCAAAGAAAACAATGACAATAAAGCTTCTCCTTTGATTGTTCTGCAGTTCTAATATACTGGAGGTTTCTACTGTAGGACTGAAGATAAGTAGATCTCAGCCGTTTCTATCTTTCTTGGTGTTACAATTTCTTTCACTGAAACACTTTCAAACTGTTCTTAACTGCTGCAGATAAAACACTGAATTACTGTGAAAAAGATTTCTTAAACACCTAACATTTTCTAGTTTCAACTCTGAGAAAAACAGAGAAAAGCCATTTTATAGCAATTTATGTACACAGCTGGGACTGTTTTCAGTTGCCTGCCCGAGCACTGTCTGTGTGTGTTGGTGTGTCCATGGAGATGATCCTTCCTCTGCTTCTGTGGAATGTTTGCAATGTGCGCAAAGAAGCAGGAGATCAGCACAACTACCTGGGGTCTGTGCCTGGGCATGCCTAGATCCCCTGGTAGTGAGTCTACAATTAGGGTTGTTCTGAAAACAAGCATGTCAAAATAAAAGAGCAGAAAGCTGACATTTAGAAAGTTAAGGCTTGGAGAAAGTCTGCAACCTGCAGAATAACCTACTGAGAGTGGCATAGGCTAAAAGGAAAAAAAAAAAATCTTGAGTGCATACAGATTTGTTGCTATTGGGTGGAAAAGGGAGGTTGAAGAGAAACAGACAGGAAAAATGAAAGAAGAACATATGTGAACAGTTAGAGTAGTTTGAAAACCTCTTTGATTTCTCTCCATTAGTGATTGCCGCTGGCATGGTCCCCCTGGTTAAAAGGGCTCTCATGTGCAGAGGACTCCACAAAAAGGCTAATTAGGAAAATGAGACCCTCATTCTGTCTTTAATTTAGAAATGAAGTTGACAATGGTGTTTATTAAGAAGACAGATGCATTGGAGAAAAGGATTTGAAGTTTATGAAAGACAGGGCATGGGAAAAACCACTAGAAAAGAAGGATCAGGAGTGTGGTTTCGACATGCAGACCTCTGCTATGTATTGTCTTTAATCTCTGGGGTCTGCAGCTTGCTAACAAATCTCTGCAGAGCATAAACAGACATGCTTACATCACCAAACCCAGCTGCAAGTGCAGCCTTTGCAAAATTCCAGCTGAGATACAAATATTCACATATATATCCCCTTTACCCAGCTCATTAACATGACCTGCTTTCGCCCGTATTACAGTCAGTGCACATATTGATCCCTGAGTCCCTTTTGTAGCTGAGGTCCAGTCTGCAAAAGAAAGGGGAAAAAAATCCAGCTGCACCTGCATATATTTCTGTAGTGGAACATGCAAGAATCCCGAACAAAAATGCAGCAAGTACAAAAAATAAATAAATAAGCAGGAATAATTAGACCCAAATTGAGTCTTAAAGGGACTATTGAAAGAAATATAGGAGAAATGGAGAAGTTATGCACTTCCTAAATTATTTTTTAAAATACTACAACTGCTTTGCACGGATCTTCTTTAATAGCCACTTTTACTAAAAACTTTAAGCATAAAAAAAGGAAGTTGTAGTTAGGGATCTATAAAACCAATTTTAAAAACTTCCCATAGGGAAAGTTGTCTTCCTTAGCTCAGCACTTTAATTTTGATGAAAAGAGGGGATTACAGAGATTCTTGTTGTAGCATGCCTGTTGCTGACAGTCTAACTTTTGGGAAAAACTGCCTGCATGATACTCCAAAGGTGAAATATGAGTGGCATAACACACACACTAAAGAGGCTTCAACTCAACACCCCTTCAGCCCAACCACAAAACAAATCAACGCTGTATTTAATGCCTTTGGATACATCCTGTGTACAAATAACACAGTTTAAATTAAGTTTAGTGTATTTAAAAAAAAGACAAGATTTTGGAATGTTACAATGTACATTACATCCATTTCGCATTAAAACTTTTTTGCAGGACAATATTTTCAATATACATAGCAAATGCACAATAGATACAACACACCTGTGAGTTTTAAGGCTGAATATCAAAACACATTGACAACAGTGCAGGTGCTATCTATTAAAGTGTGCAAATTACTGTCTATAAAAAGTGATCTAGATGCCAACAGAAATTACTGAAGAAGCAACATAGGTTAAGGCTTAGGAGTAGGCATATGTTACTTGATATTTAAACAGAAGGCAAAACTTTAAACACACAATAAAGGGATTATTCAAGAGGAGGATAATAATCCACGTCCAAAAAGTAATTAAACAGGTTAGTTTCAATCATCCTGCTCCCTTAACCAGGTGATTATTCTCCAGTCTGTGTTTTGGAGCTGATAGAAACTAATCTCTGTGTCTGCTTTTTACTTTCTGAACCTGGATTATCCATCTATGAATAGTTCTAATTTTTAGTTAAAAATGGTCTTGAGCTATTAATGATTGGAGCTGAAGAAGCTCCCAAATATAGTCAAATAGAAACCCAAACAAAAAGTGGGCTAATACTGTCTTGAAATTGTGACTCTGATAGGAAAATCGGCATGTTCTATCCTGTGTACACATTTCAAAGGGAAGTTCTTTGGAAATGTACAACCACCTACCTCCATTTCTGGTGAAAAACTGCCATATACAGACATGAATCCAATGTTTATAAAAGGACCTTTGCATAAACTCACTTTTGAGAATGGCATTTAAAAAACAAACAAAAAAACAGTAGGAGTCAATTTAGCAATTGGTTCTTATCTAAATAGCCATTAGCTTCAGATTTGGGAGAAAACGAATTCCTATTTTTGTAAAGTTAAGACAATATAAAAGTTATCAGGTGCTTATAAGCTATGAACAGAGATTTCCCTTAAATGACTGTATTATGGTACCCTAGTCACAAACAGGTGTACAGCATATACTCTTTACATTTATCCATTCAGATTTGCAAATGTTCAGCAAATTAATAAAAATAAATAACTTAAAGTGGGCATACTATCTCCTCTTTGGGAGGCATTTAAGTGAACGGGAAGCATAACAACAATTCTAAAACTTATATATTTTATATATATATATATATATATATATATATATATATATATATATATATATATATATATATATATATATATATATGAAATAGGCAAAACATTCTATTCACAAGAGGTAGTTCAGTTATTCATATCAATATTTTTTTAAACAGGCATCAGTTTTGCAAAGCTCATTTTACAGTGCAAACAACAAACTACGGCATTCCATTAGTGCCAAACAGTTGCTTACCATTTCCTACCATTTCTACAGTAAAGAAATTATTTTAAGCTCAACATTTAATGTCAGAACACAATAACTGTCTGTGGAAAACTAACCAGAATACCACATTTGTCATTTTATCCAGTTCATTGCAAAACTGCATTTAAATTATATTAATGAATGGAAGAAAAAACAATATCAAAACAAACTATCTTTAAAACACCCCATGTCATACAGCTTTAGAATAAATTCCTGCTCATAAGGATACAAAAAATATTCTATCTGATCATAAATTACACCTTTTCATACCTTTATTCCCATCTGCCTTTTGTCTTATACATATATAATTACTTTTAAAACAAAAGTAACACAAAAACCCTCATTGTTAACGCCAACCGAAGTTGATTTTAGACAATATGCTGCCTGACACCTTCAGACTTCTGTAAAGTTGTATTAAAGTCTTTAACACAATGACAGCCTAACCTTTTTTTCCCCCCACATAAGTCAACAATAGTATGAATAATCAACATATTCTCATTATCAGTGCGTATGAAATCGTACGAAAAGTTATGCACACTATTTCGTACGTTTTTCCTCAAAAAACCACATCAGTGCGCATGCGCTGGCAGACAGGAAAAAAAAAGCAGATCCGCGGATGGACGTAAAACTGGGAAAAACAGTGCAATCATCACTTATTCATGTCTCTAACTACTTTGCTTGCTGTTTTATATCTTAGGGTTAGGGTCAGGGTTAGGGCTAATTGTAATTTATATTCTATATTGGTGAATGGTGCGTCAGATGAGCATGCGCATGTGGCAAAAAAAAAAGTCCAAAACGTACGAAATTACAGTGCATAACTTTTCGTAGGATTTCATACGCACTCATAATGAGAATAGGTTGGAATAATTGAGGTAATTTTTGTTCATTTTCAAAAAAAATTGGAAAACCTAAATTAAGGTGATCTCCCAAAAATAACATTTTAAAAATTGCTTTAAAAAAGTAATAAAAAAAAAGAAGGCTTTCAAATCGCCCTCTCTAGTATGTTTTCTGACAGTTTTCAACTTTTATTGTGTCCTGACTCAAATGTTTGAGAAGCACCATTACTTGGCATCAATGGCTTGCCATACAGATCTATCGCCAGTGCGCTCTGATTGTTCACATCTGTCTGTATTTTCCCTTGCAGTGGAGGATGTGTTTGTACAGTCGGTCTATCCTGTCCTGGAGAACAGCAGCGTGTTCGTCTGACAGAAACCCCAGTTCTCGAGACAAAGGCTCGCTGTCCCTATAAAGCTCCAGCAGCCTCCACCGAGAGTCCCTGCGCCTGTGCAGCTCCGCCACGCGCTGCGTGGTCCTTTTCCTAAACACGCACACGGAGCTCAGGACTGAATGGTGATATTTCTCCCACAGGTTCAACACCCGAAAGCCGTGCACAAGCCCGGCCTCATTGTCTATGAACACCAGATCTCCGTGCGGCGTTCTCAGCAGATTATTCGTGTCCCTCTCCATCACATGCGGATCCCACTGCAGGCTGAACAGATTGCTGACCAGTCTGTCGAAGTTGGCAGTCAGGTAGTCGAACACGATCAGGTCGCTCCACTGCATCAGCTCCAGCAGCTCCGCTGTGGTTTGGTTCTCCAGCCGCTTTAGCGCAGGATTCAGCCCGACGCTCTGTTGTCTGAGGGGCGCAGGTGTGACCACTCCCGTCAGGTTGGAGATCCACTCTGTGAGAGACACAACGGCTCCATCGCTCCACTGCAAATGGCTCATCCGCGTCCTCACAGCTGCCCATTGCGCGCTGTCGCCGTTCAGCTGTGACAGAATGAGCGGAGGCAGATTGGTGATGCCCAGCAAACCGGCCAGGTAGTATGTCAGAGTTTCTCCCTGCACCTGGTCCGCGTTGATCCCGTAGCGCACACACGCTTTAGTCCCATCTGCAAACGTGGCCAGCTGATTGGACACCCTGCCGCATCCAGGCTCCAGCTTTATAACCGCGGATGTCCTTGCCTTGTTTCTCCAAGCCTCTGCGTATCCCTCAGTGAATCTTACAGGGAGGAGGTCTTCCAGCCAGTCGCTCCAGAATATCCCATCATCGACTGGGGAGCCTAACTTGACCGGAGCCTCCCTTTGCGCTGACCTCTTGTTCCCATTAACATGATAATCACGGGTTCCCACAAAGGCAGATGGGTAGCTGAGGTTTTGAACCTTCTGCCTTTGTGCAGCTGGAACGGCAAGCAGCGCTCGGAAAGTTTTAGCAGAAAGGTCCTCTGAAGGACCTTGCTGAAAGGACTCCTGGCTCGGTCCTGAGAAGCGTCGCTTGTGTCTCTCCAAGCGATTCTCCAGTGCGCTCCAGACGTAGAAAACACTTGAGAGGGCGCACAATAAGAGCAAAGCGAACAAGTTTGCTGAGAGAGCCCTCATGGTTGTCCCTTGGGGTCGGAATCCAGCAGAAATGAAGCAGCTCTGCAGGAGAGATGCAGCTGTGTTCAGCCCACAGTGGAGCTGGTGCGGTTCTGCGCGGTGCGCTCCGCGTCCCGGACAGCCTCGACGCACCGCTGAGCGCAGGATGACTGCTGGGGATCAGGCGGAGATCTCCGGGTCTGCGCGAATCTCCTCTCCCGCCCTGTTCAAGGGACTTCAGGAATCAGTCAAAAAAAAAAAAAAAAGGACAGAAAAAAAAGCGAGAGCGGCGGATGTAATGTTAGATGTTCGCTGTTAAAGCCCCCTGGCGTCGCGAGGGCTCTCAGCCTGTGAATCATAAGGCTCTCTCCCGCTCATCTCATCCTTCCTCTCCGCCGGGCGCTGACTGAGGGTTTGATTTGTGATGGTGTAGAAACGCCGAGAGACACTAGGCGGTGAGGCACGTGACAACAGCCTGAGGTGGTGGGCGGATCGTGGGAAGGAGGGCTCAGAGAGGAGCGAGGCAAGTGCACCGCGTTTTATACTGTGCATAGTAAAGGTAAATATGCATCTACTATAACATTTAATAGTAAATGCATTCATCTTTGCAGTCATTCACCCCATTTTTTAAGCAAGTTATAGGCCCACATTCCTTAAAAATGAAAACATTGATAAGTTAGAGCAGAATGAGGTTAAGAGGTCTGGAATAAGCCTGAGCAGTTCTAATGTGTGAAGGTTACCTTTGCTATACCTTATGCAATTAGCTGAAACGATTAATTTTACATTTTGGTGGTGTTTTATATTACTATACTATATCAATATAGGCTGATTTCCTTTGACTTTCATGTGTTTTTTTTTTCCATTCATGCAGCACTTTTCATAACAAATATGTTGTAAACAATTGCATATCAATTTTCCATAAGTAGGTGATGGTGATTTGTTCGATTCTTTTTAAGCTGCACACTGGAAAAAAGCCCAAAATCTAGATAAGTCATTTTTTTCTTAAAATAAGTGCATTTGTTCTTGAGGAGATAAAAGAGACATTTTGCCAATGGAACAAGACAATTTACATTTAAAATAAAGAAAACACAATTGCATTGTTTTATTTCAAGTGCATATTATTGAATTATCTTATTTTAAGAGTAAAAATACTATTTCCATTGGCAAATCATCGTATTTACCTACTCAAGGTAAGGATAAATACACTTAATTTAAGACATTTTTACTCATATTTAGATCGTTTTTGCAGTGCAATGCTTAATTTTCCTTAGATATGTTTTATTTCATTGTTTAGATTTTGCCAAATAAAGAAAAAGCAAATTTAAAATATACTTTTATTTCTGTATTTTGACAAAGACCAAAATATTTTAAAAAATTATTTGCTTTCCCACTTAAATTTGATATTTGCAGTAGGGCTAATTACTCTTTAAACTTGGCAGCGTTTTCAGGTGTTCATTGTAAACAAGCTGCCAGCTTCTCATTTTAAACTTGTAAAGGGGGACCTTTACATTGTAATATGTTCTTTTTGATTTTGTATCCAGATCATGCATTCATTTATTTATGCATTTCCCCATAAACCCAATCACATTTGTAATGATGACCCAAAGAATTATGAAAATACTGTTAAGTCAATTTACTAATATCTGCAAATTATACCTAAAGCCATGTTTAAAAAGTACAATAATTAGTAAAACCTGTATTACTCGAACCGTTAAAGTCAACATTAAAGTTCAAATTACATGGTCATCATTACAGTATTAAGGCACTGATAAATGTAATAATACTTTAATGAATTATTATAAATATATATTACAGCTTTATCACAAAGTCTAGATTGTAGAAAGACACATGTTTCATAGCAGCTTAATGAAAATATAAGCAAGAGTAGAAGATGGATGTATTCAAGCTGCTTTCCTGCTTTAAGGTGTTTACATCTAATAAAACAAATAATTCAAATTCCAAACATGAAAATTAATGCTCAATTGCAAAAAAAAAGAAAAAGGACTTTACAATGAGAAGGTGTTTGTAGGACACAGGGCAGTGGGAAGAACTATAATCATGAAAAAAAAAAGAAAGAAACCTAAATGGCCTTTAGTTCCTCTATGCAGTTTGTTTTCAGAATAATATCTGAAATATGTTCCTTTTTTTATTCTAAAATAGTCATTTCCCTCTACCTCTAAACCAATTTCCCTCTAAATTGTCCAGAAAACAATGTTCTCTTCCTGGCTTTTAGCCAGGTGTAAGGCATATTAAAATGTACTCATCAACAAATGTTTTTTTTTTTTTTTGGTAATGTTAATAGACCACACCATAAATTTGTATTATTACTAACCCACTAAGTGCTGCAGAATATTTTAGACATGTTCTTTGAATATATGCAGCATAAATACTCACGTTTCATTTGCTTCATCCTTGTTCAAAGCTCTTGTTAGCCTAAATGTAACAAGTACATAAACGTCTTTATTTGCATCTCTCTTGCTGAATTGTTTCTCATTAACACCCTCCCTCCCCTCACTCTTATGATTCTACTCATGTTTTCACACTCCGCATCTTGAACCTTAGCTTCCTAATCAAATTAATTGGGTCATTTTCTAAAGCAACATGCCAGGATGTTAAATTGCCTAAGTCAAAAAGACAGCTGCAGACAGGAATACATGATTAGAGCCAATAAACTACATATCTACTAATGTATGCTTTAAGCAGTGTGAGCTGGCACTGTCTTATCTCTATACAGATTTTAATGAGATTTTACACCTTGAAGAGAGACGTTTTCAAACGGCATTAAAGCAAACCTTGGTTTCTTCTTGAACAGCGAGTGGTATGTAAGCAGAAGTGAAAAACATTTGCACATGGTTAGAGACGTACAGTTCAAACCATAAATGTAAATGTATTATGCAAACCTACAGAAAGCTTTTTTTTCTTACTATTTGATATACATTGTTGGGATTTTGTAGAAATTATGGTAAAACTATACTAGAATGTCAGTCAATACCTGTGAATTTTTTTCATAGAGTTAAAAATATATTTACATAGAGTCCACAAAAACACATCTTACTGTTTTTTCTTTTTTTTTTTTTCTCGCCTTACTGATATTACAACCTATATGAAATGGATTCAACATAGGAATAAACTTTGCATGTTTATCAGTTAGGCTTGCCATAATTATTTCTGTTTCTTAAATGAGAAAATAATAATATTCCATTTGTCAAATGTTGTTATTTAGCACATAGAAATTATTTTAGTTATTCTAAGTGAACTGCAACAGGAGAATTTTGTTTTAAAAGTATTGTGGAGGATTTTCACAAATTTTTATAAAATGGTAAACGGCATGTACTTATATAGCGCCTTTTTTCAAGTCATGTAACTTGACCAAAGCGCTTTACACTACATTCATTCACCCATTCACGCACACACTCCCACACTGATGGTGGCAAGCTACATTGTAGCCACAGCTACCCTGGGACCTGCCCTCTCCACTTCAAAAAAAAAAAAAGTACATGCCAAACCCCTGTACCTGCTCCCGAGTGGAAACGCCTATTAAACCTTCACGAGAGCATGCATGAGCATATTTCTCCTCGTGCACGTTCTGTTTAAAAGTTGCTGTTCTCACGACTCATACAAGCTTACTATGTCCCAACATCCGACCTCACCCCTAAATCCCTCAATCACTGTATAGAGCAGGAAATATATAGCGGACTTTATAATGAACTCAGTTAACTTACTGTCGGACAGATGATCAATGCTTTTTGCTCCCTGATAGTCACGTAAGGTATGCGCCATCTTTGTTATCAGCTGTCGAAGAGAGCTCTCCATGCAAAGCATTCCGGGATATATCTGCCTCTTCTGAGGCCTTTCTTTTCTTCTCATACACTTCGTAGATCCTTTTTCTCTTACGACCCTCGGCCATTTTCAAAGAACCGTGGTGAAAAGGGTGAGCTTCAATTAATGTCTGAAACCGTAGCTCACCAAATATACACTGAAAGTGCATATGCGCAGAAAAAGATAGCTAACGGACAGAGCACGTAGGACGGCCTTTAGTAAACGTCTCACCAGAATGATTGATAATTGGGAAGACCACTTATTGAGATGATCCACCCGGAAATAAGATATCGTCCACTTTAAGACCAGACAATTAGACATAAATGTTATGTTTTATAACTTACAGGTTCATCCAAAAATCTGTTTAAATTGTGAAAAATTTAAATATTAATTTGACTCATATCTGCATACTTCAGCTGATTAGAAGATAGAAGTATGGTAGAAAAACAAACACAAGCAACAGGGATAATCGTATTGTCAAGCATGATCAATTCAAGTACCGGTATTTAGGGAGATTTATAAGGCATGGACTCTATCAAGAAGAATAGAAGGGACACCAAATCCAACAATACAGATAAGCTAGAGGATGTCCTAAAAGTATCCTGGACTTTTATAACACCTCAGAATGCTCAGATGCATGAATAAATGCATTAGTTCTTGCAAAGTAGGCAAAACCAAATACTAAGAGCATAGAAACAAAAATATGTTTCACACTGCATAAATTCTCTTTTTAACATTATGTTTTCTTTCTGATACACTAAAAGTTTGTGTTTCATTATATGTAAGCCGTAATCATCAAACTGCAATATATAAAGGCTTGAAAAATGGCACGTATGTAATCCCTGTTAGGATCCGGGGCCTTGCCCACCAGAGGGCGCCGTGGATCCATGCCTGGGGAGCTTGGGCTCAGCATGGACAGCTGTTTCCCATCAGCTCATTAAGAGCTCTCCCTATTTAAGCTGGAGTAGAGCTCCACTCTGAGCCGGATTGTTGTCCTTCTGTGCCACCATGCCTGTCTGAACCTGAGAACCCTGTGTGTTTCCAATAAATATTGGACTTTTAATCCTCCCTCTGTGTCCGTGAGTGTCTGCACTTGGTCTAGTAAAACCTGCGCATCATGACAGAACAATCCGGCCAACAGACTAGCCCAGCAGACATATTCCGGTGGATGTTGGAGTTGAATCGCGTCATCCTGGAACTATTGAGCCGTCTGGAGGCCCCTGAGCCCGCTCGGTGCCGTCTGGAGACTCCTGAGCCCGCTCGGTGCCGTCTGGAGACCCCTGAGCTCGCTCTGTGCCATCTGGAGGCCCCTGAGCCCGCTCGGTGCCGTCTGGAGACTCCTGAGCCCGCTCGGTGCCGTCTGGAGACCCCTGAGCTCGCTCTGTGCCATCTGGAGACCCCTGAGCCCGCTCTGTGCCATCTGGAGACCCCTGAGCCCGCTCTGTGCCGTCTGGAGACCCCTGAGCCCGCTCTGTGCCGTCTGGAGACCCCTGAGCCCGCTCTGTGCCGTCTGGAGACCCCTGAGCCCGCTCTGTGCCGTCTGGAGACCCCTGAGCCTGCTCTGCGTCTTCCAGAGACTCCGGATGTGGAGCCACAATCGGTGGTTTCCTC